AGAATCTCTAGCTACTCCTAGCCTTTTTAACTAGGAGGATAGGGGTAGCTACTAGTAAGGTACTAGCTTAGACCTACCCCTTATCTATTAGCTTAGTTACCTACTTCTAAAGCTCGAGTAACTAGTCTTAAGGTATATTATATAATAAGCCCTAGGGAAGCTTAGGTAGATAACCCTCCTTATCTACTATAAGTTATATATAGTGATCAAGCTAACCTTGATATAAGGGTAGTATAAAAGCCTTATCTTTATCAAAAAGATCTATAAAATCCTAGACCTCTAATAGTAAGATAATTCTAGCCTTAGGGTCCCCTACTACTACTAAGGAGGTAGTAAGAGCTAGGATCTAAGTTATCTAATATAAGCTAGTAGAAGCGAATATATAGTATAATATCGCTATATACTCTTTTCTATAAGTAAGGCCTACGAAAAGGCTTCTAACGATAGTACTAGCCTATAAGAGTAGTATCTAGAGGGAGGATTTATAAAGGACCTATCCCCCTACTACTCTAACTATAAGATAACCTTAGTCTATATTTATTACTATATACTAGTAGTATATCTATAGGAGACTTAGGATTATATCGTATACTAGCCCTAGGATCATATAGAATAGTACTATAGAACTCTAGTTATCTATATCTAAGTTAGTATAAGCTATATAGGTAATAGGATATTATTTAGAGAGTCCTAGTACTATCTCTAAATCTTATATATAAGGGAGGCGAAGTTACTCTAGTCTGAGTTTCTATACTAAGTATTTACTAATTATACTATAGTATTTATAACTACTATCGATCTATATATCGATAAAATATTTACTTTCAAAGAGGATAGAAAGAAGAAAGAGAGGTTTATCTATTTTTCCTTAGATAGCTTGAAGCTCTTTTATAGTATCTAGTAGTATAAAAGAGGTATATAGACCTTAAGGCTCTTAGGGGAGGCTTATCCTAGGAGCTATTTGTTTCCTAATATAGAAGAGGGGCTATCCTTATCTAAGAGCCCCTTATCTACCTTAAGTACCTTGATCGAGGTAGGTATATAAGCTAGGTAGAAGGGGTATTCCTAAATAAAATACTACTATAAGCTATAGTAGATATAAGTACCTACTTTATAATATATAGAGCGAATAGAGTCTAAGACCTACTATATATATCGATGAGCCCCTTTAGGAGAAGGAGTAGTACTAGATAACTAAGGTCAAGGGGTTAGTTTACCCCTATTATAATAGGGAAATAGGGATGAACTACCTCCTTAGTAGCTATAGTTATTCGAGTGCTTAGACTATATAGTATTTACCCTAGTTATAAGTATATCTTCGTCCTAGTTATAAGCTATTACTATTATAGGTAGGTAAAGGCTACTATAGGAGTAGGATTCAAGTTCCTAAGCCTTGATTTCCTATATAATATCCTAGTACTTATTATAGGCTCTATTATAGGACTTATGATCTACCTTAGTACTAATCGCGCGTTTATGAATCTATAGTAAGAGTATAAAATAGAGAAAGTTAATATAGATTTCGTCTATCTAGTAGAAGCTACCTATAGTAGTAAGGGTCTATTCAAACTCAATGAGGAAATAAGTAAAAGTATTAGAGTTTTTCATATAGAAGTATCCTAGCTTTATAAGAGTATCCTAGTAGTAGTAAGGGTTACTATAGTAGGCCTTAAGGTAATCTAGGAACTTAGTTATATTATAAGTATACTAATTACTTTCTTCCTTATAGAAGGTAGTAACTTACTATTAGACTAAGGGGGCAAAGGCAGACTATAAGAAAACTTATTAGTTATATTAGTCCCTGATAAAGATCGCATCTATATAAAGTTTATATTCGATAGTTATATACTAAGAGTAGAAGGTTACCTTATTCCTATTATATAAGGAACTTAGGGGAAGTAGCTTCCTCTATATAAGGTATATTATAGGGGTTACTTAAGGGAAGGTCTTCAAAGGGGTACTAGTATCTTAGGTACCCTATGTCTATAGTATACTCTCTAAGAGAGTATATAGGGGGTATTAACCTAAGCTAACCTATAGAAAGAAAGTATACTAAGGGGAATTAGCCTACTAGTAATAATTCTACTAAGTAGTATCGTTCTACTAGAGGGGGGTATTAAGTATAGGATTAATACTTATTACTTAGTCTTTATAGAGTACCCTAAAGAAGTTTACTATATTATCTTCTACTATTTCTACTAAGGTCTATAAGCTCTACTAAAGTAAGAATACTAAGTCTGAGATAGATAAGGGATACTTCAAAAATATAAGGGGCTAGCTTATAATATAACTATAGGTAGGTACTAATAAGGATATATTCTGAAGTATAAAGGAGGAAGAAGGGAGGTCCCTAATAGACCTCTTTCTAGTAGTTTATATAGATCTAACTAAGCTTAGTATAGACCTATACTAGATCTATTGCTTACCTAATGCATGAGCCCCTAAGCTCAAGCCTATAATATTAGGTATAGATTTAGCTATATTAATAAGCTCTTAAACTATATAACTTATACTCTTGAAGTAACTACTTACTAGTATATAATCGAGAAAAGCAAGTAGATTACTACTTAACTCGCTACTTATAATAGCCTCAAGTAGATAAGCAAGCTACTATAAAGATATATAAAGAGAGGTCTCAATTATATATAGTAAGACTATATATTAGTATAAATAGTTTATAAGAAGAAATACTAGTATATAAACTATAATAAGGACTATAGTTAGTAAGTATACTATAGTATACTCTATAAGTACTAGCTTCTCGATAATATTATTAAGTACCCTAGGTATATCCTTAAGCAAGAGGATATTAATAGCTTCTAGTAGCTAGAATAGGATCTTACTAATTATAACTCTCTTCTTATACTTTATAAACCTACTATAGTTACTAATATATATAGCTAACTATATAATATAGTAACCTTCTTAGTAGCTAAGTAAAGTATCTTTAGTATAATTATATTATCTTAGAAGATAGCTAATAATACTAGAAATATAAGGAAGAAAGCTAGTAATAAGATAGAGTAAATATTATTATTAATATAGCAAGTAAATTCATAGTAGGAATTTAGTAATAGCTTTACTTAGATAGATAACGACGATATAATTAAGGTCTAAGTAGTAGTAGTACTACCTATAATATAGGGTATAAAGAGGAAAGAAGAGTAGCTAAAAAGCTTATAGAATAAGCTAAAGGTACTATAGGTAGAATTATCGACTAAGGAATCAAGTACCTAGCTAGCTAAATAAATATATATAAGTATAAGGTTAGTAGTAAAAGCGCCTAGCGCTACTATTAATAGTTTACCTAAGGTTATCAAGGTAGCTAGGGAAGACAATTATCCTATATAGCTATAGAGCTAAGCGTAAAGAGCTAAGTACGAAAAGCGAAGTATAAAGTATAAAGTATAAAGGGTAAGAAGGTTATCGATAATTAATAGTATTATTTTTAGGTGATTTAGAGTATATTCGTTCATAATTATATACTACTATCGAGGTAAGTTACTACTTACCTACTATATAATATATAGTATACTTTATATAGATCTATCTATACTATTAGATAGCTCTAAATATTATAATCTTTAGATAGTTTTAAACTTCTTTATATAATAGAAATTCATAGTATTATTAGTTATAATAGTTATAGCTATAAGTAGTATTATAACTAGCCTATAGGAGCGACTATAGGTATAATCTTATACTTAGTAGTAGTAGGTAATTGATAAGGCTAGCCTAGTTGATAAGGTCTAGTATAGTACTAAGTTTTTCATCGGGCTAATCAGGCGAGGGTGCAGCTATTCGTCTGATGTACTATACTTCTAGAAAGTACGAATAGGGGGTTATAGTAGTACGAATCCCTGTTCTCATAAATATTACTCTCGGTGGTCGGGTGCGAACTTTGGAAAAGTACTGCTCCTAGCATTTGATGGCATGTAGCTTGTTCTATCAGAGCCACAGTCTGGCTTCGCCTGCCTTCGGGGAGGAGTAAGTGATTTAATCAGCATACTGCTGGAAATACAGGGAGATAGCTTTGATTGCCAACCGCTATGTTTGTGGAATTGGTCGAATATTGTGCTAAGTAGTTGAAAGTTTGTCCGTGGTCTCCAGGTGCTACATCCGAACCTCTGCCAATACTCAGGTGCCCAGCAACAGTCAAGTGATGAAGACATGAAAGACCATACTTTCTGACAACATTGCAAAATCATATTCGACTCTCCTATCAGTGTACATGTACTATGGGGTGTCATATTCCATGTCTACGTACTATGTAGACTTGAAAGCAACCCGGTGATTCCTTCATTCTCTCACACAGCCACGCATATCTACAACAGCATCAGCGTACTGCCTACCGCATTGGGGATGGCATATTATCACACAAGTATATATCTAGTCGCTACTCCCAGGTGCGTAGAACTGCGAGCGGTAAGGTAACCCATATGTCGTTGGACTGATAGTAGCACCTTGCAATTTCCGGGTAAATAATATTGAAGCAATTCGTACATGTACCTACTCATCCTTTTCAGATCCTATTCAAGAACAAGTTCCTCAAGAACTCCTAGCTTTGTACTGCTAGCTAGACATTTCCAAGCATGCGTTCTCTTTATAACACTTGCTGGAAATAATGATCGAGGCGTTCTTCTGCCCAGACAGTTGATTTGGGTGCACCCATATATAATGCTGTATCGAGGACCCCATCCCACAAACTCGTTTAAATGGACGTGGGGTTGATAACTAGCAGGCTTGCCCCTGGACAATTTCGGATTATATAAACTTGCATAAGAGTTTTTGAAGGTGTCTCACATCGTGCTCCAACTGCGTATGACGCCCGGGCAGCATATATCTTGGACGTGTCTAACCGTATAGAAATTAAGTTATAGAAGTAGCATCTAATGAACACGCAAATTGTATTATCGAAACGTAAACACGTGGCCTGAGAAGTTTAGCAAAGATAAAAACAAAATATGATTCTACCGGATGGAAGGGAGCAAAAAAGAAATCGACGAGAGCCGGACTTGAACCGACGCCTCCGAAGAGAACAGATATCAAGAAACACATTCCTTTGCAGAAAACATTCGAGTCTGTCGCCTTAACCACTCGGCCATCTCGCCAGATGATGCTTATAAATCTCATGTGAACCAGGGACTGATATTGCAGCTCACACATGACTGGAATCTTTCATGGAAGTGGGTCATATTTAGGGGCACTGACAAGCATTCTTATCCTTGGCATGTACACATGTAGGTACCGCGTGGGACTGCAAGTCCATTTTCGATGAGAATTGCCAATGCTACGGTGATCCAGCCCTTGGGAACTCTCTAAATACTTTAATCGATTGGTAGGCTTTGATCCTGGATCACAGTATCTAGATTGATCCCTAAGCGCTATGCTTTAACACTGCCGGAGGGAAAAGGTCGATGAAACCAACCCCCCCCCCCCTGTTGTATTCCAAAAAGGGTTGGGGTCTGTGTAAGTGGTCGCAGGTGGGTCGATATATGTTTTGTATTCACGAGCAAGTACATGTGCATCCAGGTCACTGAAATCCAAATGAGTCGTGCGTGCCCAGGGTGGTTTACATGTCAATTGGAGCCCTGGAGCTTGATAATCCGAGAACTTGAGACTCCGCAGCGTACGGATCTGGCCGTTGACTCTATTCCAACGATTCTGAGGTAACATGACCTAGAGCAGGGGCATTTTTAGCTGCGTGGATCTTCTTGCGAACATAGAAGCCCTGGAGGCACTCATCACTAGCTGGGTAGCTCTAGAAGCTCATCAAGATTTCTAGAAGTGCATTTGCTTGTATGGAGTGGGCGCAGCACTGAAATTTATACAATTTGGAGATTTGGGGTTCTGGGTGCTCTGGCAACACTTCGAATCTCAGCGCACACGTCCACACAAGAATGCAACATGGCTGGATTATATTGTTATTGCTATTCAAGTGCTCACCGCACTATCGCCGGCACTTGATGCCTCGCTATTGCCTATAGAGGTCCCGGAAGCTACTGACTCCCGTCACCCCCGGCCGGCTTGATATTCATTGAAGGTTTTTCAGGAGTGTGGTTTATGCCTCTCACCCTCCTTCTCTCGTCCCAATACCGTCACTGTAGAGACCCTCTACTCCACAGCTTGTCCAGGTCAGTGAGCCATTCTGGCAATAAGGACTTTACGGGCCATAAACAAAGGCGCGGTGTCCGACGCCAACACGAGCCGTGCATCTGTTGTGTCACCTGGCGGCATTGCAACCCCGCTGCTCCTCAGTTCTATGAGACGACGTCACAGAGTTGACCCACCGCTGCCATGGTGATATTCAGACCCAGGACTGTATACATCCGCAGACAGGGCGGGTCAAAGAGGACGCAGCGCCTGGATGGAAAAACGTCAATGCCGTGGACGCACCGCCGAGTATCCGCCATCGGCACTCACAGGAACGCCGGTTCGGTGAAGCTCCAGCCGAGCCAGTTATCCCAGGGCCAGATGATCTTGCATATCCCTCGACAGAGCTGAGGGATGTCAGGCGACCAGTGGGGGCGCGGTTGCGTTTGGCAACCGATCTCAGAGGGATGAGCGGCGTAGAGCCGGATGATATGACATCGGATCTCAATATACATGGGCTCACTTAAACCTTAAACCCGGTGGTTCCCCGCAAGTAAGCCTTGAAAGCAACCTGCCTGAGTAATGCTTCCCCAACTCTTGCCCCACGAATCGGATTGTCCCCTCAATGAAGCGCTGGATGACCACCTAGGCTTGGACAACGAGGCGTTGTGGTCAATACGAAGTTCAAGTGCAGGGTTATATGTACTTATAGGACCCTTCGACCCACGAGACAGGAGGGCTCCTACGTTGAGATAGCATCGTAACTTAATTCACTAGTCATGGCGATCTCGACCTTCCTCCTCGTAGTTTCTATTGCGGCTACCAGCAGTAGCGTCTTCGCAGCCTCCAACTTCCCGAACTGTACATCCGGCCCCCTTGCCAACAATTCCGTGTGCGATACATCTCTTGGTGAGCAAGACACCGAGTCTTCGTTGAGGTCAACAGAAGGTTGGCTAACGTTCAAATAGACGCCGTGAGCCGAGCAAGGGCCCTCATATCCCTCTTCACCACCGCCGAGAAAATCAACGCCACAATTTCCACCAGTCCTGGCGTCTCCCGTCTCGGCCTCCCAAGCTACCAATGGTGGTCTGAGGGTCTTCACGGCCTCGCAAAATCGCCTGGCATCCATTTCAGCTCGGGAAACTCGAATTTCAGTTATAGCACATCCTTTCCTCAGCCCATTACACTAGGCGCTGCTTTTGACGATGACCTCGTGCACGCCGTTGCTAGTGTAATATCTACTGAGGCAAGAGCTTTTAGTAATGCAGGACGGGCTGGCCTGGACTTTTGGACGCCCAACATCAATCCCTTCCGCGACCCAAGATGGGGAAGAGGCCAGGAGACACCGGGAGAAGACCCTTATCACTTGAGTAGTTACGTCAAGTCTTTGATTGCTGGGCTGGAGGGGACAGGGGATGTGGAGTGGAACGAGAATGGAAAGTACAAGAAGATCGCATCCACATGCAAGCACTTTGCTGGATACGACGTGGAAAACTGGGATGGCAACTACAGGTATCAGTTCGATGCGTCTATCTCCACGCAGGACTTGGTCGAGTACTACCTGCCGTCGTTCCAGACATGTGCGCGGGATGCAAAAGTCGGTGGGTTCATGTGCAGCTACAACGCCGTCAATGGTGTGCCCACCTGTGCCGACTCCTGGCTCCTCAACGACGTGCTTCGAGAGCATTGGAACTGGACAGGAGGCGATTCTGACGGGTTATGGGTCGCGTCGGACTGCGACGCTGTTCAGAATATCTTCCTCCCACATCGATGGGCCCCGACCCGAGAGGCTGCCGCCGCTGCGGCTCTGACGGCTGGCACTGATCTCGATTGCGGGACATACTATAGCCACCATCTTCAGGGTGCATACGACCAAGGACTCATCAATGACACAGACTTGGACACTGCACTCACGCGTCTGTATTCCAGTCTCGTGAAGCTGGGCTATTTTGACCCAGCCGACTCGCAGCCCTACCGCTCTTTGGGCTGGGACAACGTCAGCACTACACAGGCACAACAGCTTGCCTACACCGCCGCAGTGGAGGGAACCGTTCTTCTCAAGAACGACAACAGTACACTTCCCCTGAACCTCGACGGAAAGACCGTGGCAGTGCTAGGTGATTGGGCCGCAGCCACGACCCAAATGCAAGGGAACTACTACGGCAATGCTCCTTATTTGCGTTCGCCACTCTATGCAGCACGACAACTTCTCGGAGATGACTCCGTGATCTACGCTTCCGGCCCAGACTACACGGACCCAACGACAGGTAGTTGGGACGCCATCTGGGAGGCCGTTGACGCGGCGGACGTCGTCTTGTATTTTGGTGGTATCGACACCTCTACAGAGTCAGAGGGCACGGACCGCGTAACCCTAGGCTGGGTGGGCATGCAGCTCGATGTCATAGGCGAAATTGCGAAGTCGGGTAAACCTACAGTCGTGGTGCAGTTTGGCGGAGGACAGCTGGACAGCTCGCCGATTGTCAATAACCCCGGCGTCGGTGCGTTACTCTGGGGTGGATACCCAGGACAGGATGGAGGAGTTGCCATCCTCGATATCATTACGGGCAGGCAGGCACCTGCAGGACGGCTGCCAGTTACACAGTACCCGGCGGATTACATCGCATCGGTGCCAATGACGAATATGGCGCTTCGTCCTGACGCGAGTATTGGGTTTCCGGGTCGGACCTATCGGTGGTATGACGGCAATGCGGTTTTCGAGTTTGGGTACGGACTGCACTACACCTCAATTGCTGCCGATCTGAGTCTCTCTACTTCCGCGAATAGCTTCGACATCAGCAGCCTGATCTCCAACTGCACCGAGGATTACCTGGACTTGTGCCCGTTCCCCTCCGTGCTGGTCAGCATCACCAATACCGGCAATGTGACGTCTGACTATAGCGCACTCCTATTTCTCAAGGGTCAATTCGGACCCAAGCCATATCCTCTCAAGACCCTTGTTTCCTATGGCAGAGCGCACAATATTACCTCTTCCAACGCAACCCAGATTAACCTAAATATCACTCTAGGAAGTCTTTCCCGCGTCGAAGAAAATGGAAACAGAGTTCTCTATCCAGGGTCATATAGCCTCGTGCTAGATGTCGAGCCCGGCCTGGCAAGCTTGAACTTTACCTTGGAAGGCGTTGCGACAACCCTGGATGAATGGCCTACGGCGCCGGCTAATAGGACTGGCTCGGGCACGACCGAAGTACCGGAGAATTATTTTGTAGGCGGATATGGGAGTGAAGATGGTGGACAGGTATCGCTTGGTAGCTGAGGTGTATCATACTTGAACTGGTTGTCTTGGTGAACTGTCATGACATTGCTTGGGAGTAGATATCAGCGTCAGCTGTCGCGAGCAATATGTACCTAGACGATCAATGCGGTTGAGATCAAAAGCTGATCGTAACTCAACCGAGAAATCCGCACGCGCCATTTGATAGTATCGCCTCTTGGGTAGCCAATCATGAAGTTGTGAAGGGGAAGAAGAGAAGGGGGAACAAAGGCTTCTCACATCTTGCCCCAAGGCCTTGTTGGAAAGTCCGACGCTCGGGGCTTCGAGACTTCGAAGGTTGAGCCGCCCTAATATCGCTAGGTGCAAGAGTCCCCGGTCTACATCACCGTCTAAATAATACATAGCATGTTCCCATACATAAATTGAATGCACATAGAGCCCGTTGTATCGCAACTGGACCTCTTGTGTGTTCAGCTGGTGTTAGCCCTGTTGTACCTAGACTGGCTTTCATTCAGACTTCGGGAAGATCTCCTTATATCTGAGGAGATAATCTCTGAAGCCAACCGCCTTTCGCCCCGTCAACTGCTCCACTACATCCGTTGTCTTGTTCATGTGGCCCCAAGCCACCATCTGCCCGCAACACAACAGGTCATACATACACAACTTACAGGGCAGCTTGCTGAAATCCCCGTACACATCATACGGAAGCCCCCGTTCCTTCCACCATCTCTCCAGATCCTCGTCGCCCACCTCCACGAACTGTCCCGTGTACCCAGATTGCTCGGC